TGTTCAGGTAAAGTTATCTTGTTGTTGCTGTTTTGCTGAAACATTTACATTGGTTCTTTAAAAGAAGTTCCCTTTCCCGGACAGTGTAGCTCAGTGGTTGAGCATAGACATGTGAACCAGGAGTTCATGGTTTGATTCCCGGTCAGAGTACATGTCCTGTTTTCAGGCTAGATTCCCCAGTAGAGGGTGTCATGAGGCAACTGATAAATGATTTTCATCTTTGATGTTTTATCTCTCTCCCTCTCCCTTCCTCAATGAAATCAATGAAAAATATTTTTAAAAGCAAAAGAAACAAAAAATAAAACACATAGCTCTGTGCCTTGAATCACCATTCAGCTTCCCTCTTCACACTTCATTACATCAATCCATTGTTTCTCTTGTTGGACTTATTATAAGTATCTCCTTGATAATCTCAACCTCCCTCCAACCCACTTTACAAACTGCTCTACTAGATTAGTTTTCTAAAGAATATCTTAAGTCTCCCCTAGCGTACAATTTTCAATGATGGTCAATTGCAAATGTTAGTTCTTTAATCAAACACTCAATAACCTTGTAATGACATTGTCTGTGTACTGGAATCTTTATAGTTATTTTTTCTGCGAGGCTTTCGAGGTCCTTGAGGACAGCATTACTTTCTTCATCCTTGTATCTCCCACCTCGCCTCCTCTGGTGCTTCTTTACTCTGCTGTCTGCAGCATGAGGAATACATGAGTTAAAGGGAAAATACTTTGTATTGCCTTCTCCTTTCCTATATGATTCAGTCATTCAGTCATTCGCTTTGACTGAATTTGAAATTGATTGAGTAAATTGACTAGTTGTTCTAGCTCAAGGTAGTCTTAATATTTTTATGTCATGGACTCATTTAGCATGTGGGGAAACCTATGAGGATCCTTTGCAGAATAATGCTGATAAATGCATAAAATGCAATACATAAGATCACCAAGGGAAACATTTATATTGTTTCAAAATATTATGAATTGTGATATAGTAATATGCACTCATCTTTAATACATAGCATAATACAATCTAGTAGCAGGGCTATTAGCTCCTATGCTTTCACAGTAGTGAGGAGACCATGCAGCATTACAAGCTACTTCAACAACAGTGATATGAGATTAAAATTTCTGTGGTTTCCATTGCTGAGAGAATCACAGATCCTGCTAATATGATTGTAGGTTTTTTGTTTATGTCCATAATTGAAGAAAATTCTGTATTTTAATGATAAGTTAGTATAAAATGTAACTTTTACATCTTAGTTCATCAACTCCCATCTCCCTCCCCCAAATTCTGTAGATCCCAGGTTAAGAGAGTCTGAAAAGTGCATTTTTTAATTTTATTTTTTTTATTGACTACAGTGAGAGAGAAAACATTGATTGGTTATTTCTTGTATGCACTCTGCCTGGGGATCAAGCCTGCAACCTGATTAAGAATCAAACCCTCGACATTTTTGTGTACAGGTTGATGCTTCAACCCACTGAGCCACATGGGTCAGCACTGAAAAGCGGGTTTTAGAAACAACTCTAAGCAATCTCTGTGCAGTTCAGTGGTCATCATGTAAGCTTGAGTTGACATTATGTACTTTAAAGCAGCGTTTTTCAACCGCTGTTTTTCAACCGATGTTGCCTGGTGTGCCGTAGGTGCAGACAAGACAAGAATTTTATAATTTTCACTATTTTGTTTACTTAATATTTCATAATAAAGTAATTATAAAATACTTTCTTTGTGTTTATTTGATTCCTATTCAAGAGAATTACTTTATATATAGTCAATATAGGCACAGAGTTAAATTTTTTAACATTTTCTAATGGTGGTGTGCCTCGTGATTTTTTTCATGAAACAAGTGTGCCTTTGCCCAAAAAAGGTTGAAAAACACTGCTTTAAAGTAATTTATGAGGTTAGAGCTATGCACAATTTTTAGAACTTTTGCATGTGTACCATAGCACCTAAGATATTGTAGACACTGTGTAAACTTTTTTTTTTTTTTTAGTAATAATCCAACCTTCTGCAAGTGCAGTGGAAAATAACTTTTCTGTATCCCTTCCCATACTGTGGAAACTGAGCTTTAGAACTGCCCTGGCTTGTGTCCCATACCCCCAACTCAGACACAATTCTGTTTCCAATCCTGCCACACAGTTGCCTTGTTTAGTTGAATGTTTGCTAATGGCACTGGATTGATAAATTTCTTTCATATGGTATACTCTGAATTATCTTTGATACTTATTTGTTGAACCTGTTCCCTCTGTCTTGCTCTGGAGGGGCTTGGGGCAGCTTGCCATCTGAGACAAACTGCCGAGTAAAACACACCCAGGCTCCCTACAGTTGCCAGGGAGGCAGGCGCTGCAGGCTTTTGATCGTGTTTCTACTCCTAGACTTTGCACTGTGGTCTGATATCTGTGGGCCAAGATACACTGGGAAGCATGTTGTTAATGCATCTTCCATTTCCTCTCAATAGAAATTACACAGAAATATTTTCCATTCATTCTTAAAAAAAATATTGAAAGCCTTCATTGTACAAGACACTGGCTTACAGCAGCAAAATATAGTTTTCCTTATAGTCAAGCTGAATCAGTGCAGGATTACAAGACAGATCAGGATTGTGGACAATGTTTTTGATTGCATCAATGACCCATTAGCCTTACTGATGGTAAAATTTAAGATGTCTATATTACATATGTATTATATCATTTCTATATCTCTATTACTGCACCTATATATATGTGCATGTATATATATAAATCCTAGCTAATAAAATGGTAATATGCAAATTGACCATCATTCCAACACACAAGATGGCTGCCCCTATGTGGTCAAAGGCTGCTTCCATGTGGACACAAGATGGCCACCACAAAATGGCCAGCAGGGGAGGGCAGTTGTGAGCTATCAGGCCAGCAGGAGAGGGCAGTTGGGAAGGACCAGACCTGCAAGGGAGGACAGTTGGGGGCGATAAAGCCTTCAGGGGAGGGCAGTTAGGGGTGACCAGGTTGGCAGAGGTGGGAAGTTGGGGGTGACCAGACCTGCAGGGAAGGGTAGTTGGGGAGGACCCAGGCCTGCAGGGGAGAGCAGTTGGGGAGGGGGGGCAGGCCTGCAGGGGAGGGCAGTTAGGGACAATCAGGCTGGCAGGGGAGTGGTTAGGGGGTGATCAGGCTGACAGGCAGAAGTGGTTAGGGGCAATCAGGAAGGCAGGCAGGCGAGCAGTTGGGAGCCAGCAGTACTGGATTGTGAGAGGGATGTCTGCCCATTTAGGTCCATTTAGGATTGGGCCTCAAGGGACATCCCTCGAGGGGTCCCAGATTAGAGAGCGTTCAAGCTGGGCTGAGGGACAACCCCCCCATGCTCGAATTTTGTACACCAGGCCTCTAGTATATACATATATTCAGAAAATGTGTTCATTATATATTATACATATATATGCAGGGGTAAATAAAAGTAGGGTAATAATAATAAAAATAATACAGTAATTAATTAATAAACAAAACAAAAATGGAGTTTTGTATACTCACAAATTTTTCCCATTAGAGTTTGTGTGTGTGTGTGTGTGTGTATGTATGTGTGTGTGTGTGTTCTGATAAAACCTATGTAGAATTATGTTTACTTAATCACTGGCAGTTCTTTATATGATTGACATTTGCCTTTTTTTTTTTTTTTTTTTTTTTTTTAATCTTTGAAGCCATCTAATTCCTCTGGACTTTGAGGCTTTTTGAGTTGCTTGGAACTCATATCAAATTTGGAAATCTTTTAATACACCATGTTAACTTGAATAGTTTCTTGCTATGGGTGGGATAAAGGGATAATTTGTAAGATTGGGAATAAAATGTGGTAATCACTTGATGCTTTCAGAGCAGTACATATTTTTCAAATGATTAATTTTGGCATCTCTTGTATATATCATCAGAGTATAAAAAGACTTCTCTTTTATGTTAGACTAAGTTAGTAAAAATTGTATAAAGAGTTTGCATTATTTATTTTTGTGTTTTTTGTTTAATTGGATGGAAAAATAAATCTCCCTTAAGCAGATCCTTTAACACATTGAGAACTACATATATATTTTTTTAATTTAAAATTACAACTGTCTCTTACAATTCTTTAAGGCCCAACTTCTAGGCTGATTCCTTCACGACGTTTTTCTGATCCCCTATATTAAATTGTGTAGAAAATAACACAAAGTTAGTGGCTTATAATGGACAAATGTATTATTATCTTACATCTCTGGAGGTCAGAAGTCAGACATGGGTCTCACTGGGCAAAGGCAAGGTGTTGGCAGGGCTGCCTTCTTTTCTGAGAAGACTCTATTTCATTGTCTTTTCCAGCTTCTAGGGGTCACCTGTGTTCCTAGGCTTGTGACCCCCTCCCATCGTCAAAACCATCTTTGTCTTGTGGAGTTTTTCTCACAGTGTCCTTTCTATTCCTTCCTCTTCTGCCTCCTTCTTCCCTTAATCACAAAGTGATTACATTGGCATTTGCAACCTTCATTTCTCTTTGCCATGTAACATAATGTATTTGCAGATTCTGAGTTTCAGGAAGTGGAAAACCTTAAACAGCTATTATTCTGCTTACCACCTACCCTAAACCAGAAATGATTCATGTACTTTCATAAGATTTTAATGACACTGTCTTAACCTGCTATAATTTAAATACATGCTTTATTTCTCACTTGTTTTTTAACCTCTGGACAAGACAAGACCATATCTACCTCATATTTATTCGCTCAGCATATAGCAACATTGAAAGAACCAGGTAAATATTTTTGAGCAAAGGAATAACATTTCAAGTTTTATCTAAAGACATTAGAAGGGAGGGATGTCAATTACTGAAGTATAAAAAAACAGAAGCAGATAACTGACAGATTATCATCAGTACTACTCACAAAAGAATAGTTTCTTCATGTATATCATTGTCTCTAAAAAGCAAATAATTTACTGGTCAAAGAATATGAGTCACTTAAGATTATTATAATTTTTTCTTACTATAAATTATTATTTTGTCACTTAAAAAATTTTTTCATACTCACTTCAGCAGCACATATACTAAAATTGGAATGATACCAAGATTATCATGGCCCCTACTCAGGGATGACACACAAATTTGTGAAGCATTCTATTTTTTTTAAGAGGATAAAAGGGATCAAATATATGGTGACAGAAGACTAGACTTTGGGTGCTCAGCACACAATGCAATATACAGATGATGGTGAATTGTAGAATTGTACACATAAACTTATATATAAGTTTTATGTGTACAATTTTATGTGTTTAATATAATATTAAACAGTGCCATCCAATAAATTTTTAATAAATCCTTCAGTGTCTTGGGCTTTAAAAAAATATAAATCAGTTCCTCAAAGCCTCATGAACTCTGGCTAACCTCTAATATCTGAAACTGCAGACTCTGGAAAGTGGTGGCCATCCGTGGGATGGATGCACTGTGGGGAGACCTGCTGAGTAGCTAGCCTGCACTTGCCAGGTGGAACCAACAGCTTTCCTCAGACTCCAAGAGCTCTTTGGCTTTAAAGCACTTCCAATCATGCACAGCTTCTCTATGAAGGACACTTAAGAGCAGAGGAAAGTGGATTAGTTCCTCACAATATTCAGGGAGCCAAGATTTTCTCCCAGTTATTAGCTTTAGACTACATGCAAATTATATATTCTACTCCATGATATATTTGTTTGAAAAAAAATTATATTTGCTCTATAATAAAGAGCTAATATGCTAATTAGACCAAATAGCCTAATGACCTTCGGATGTCCTTCCAGACTACCTTTCAGATGAAGCCAGGGCTGGGAGGGCCAGCGGAGGCTTTGAGGGGGCTGTGAGGGCTGAGCCCCTTGCACAAATTGCGTGCATCAGGCCTCTAATATATATATGTGAAGTTTTAACTCTGCTCCACATCCAAGTGTCATTTTGAAAAGTGTGAGCACATACTGTCTTGACCATAGTTCTGTGATATAGGCAGACGTTCTTCTCCTATCTTATGGGTGAAGAACTCAACTCACCATGTAGGGATGTCCATCATCATACAGCTGGAATTCGATGTGTGCTACACGGTGAGTAGTTTGAATCTAGATTTATTCACCCCGAGCTCCATACTTCTTATATAAACTACATTTTCTTGGGCATCAAGGCTTGTAGGCCTGGATGATTTTTTATTAACTCATGATCTAAATAATGCAGCATTTCACAAAATATTTTCCGTGGCCTATTACTACAATGAGATTCTCTGTGAAAAGAAAGTATTTTGTAATCAAGTGTGTAATTAATAATATTTTCACAATTGAAGCATGCATTACCATAGTTGTGACTATGCATGCAAAATCCACTAGTGGAGAAATGTGGCTTACCTTCTTTTATCCCAGCATCTTCCAAATTCACATCACCACTGAGCCCTTGCCTTTTCCCTTCTTGCTCCCATAATAGCTATTATCTTTTTGGAAAGTTCCTATGTCCTGGGTCCCCAATTGATGGGTAATGATTATAATGCCAGCCAGTGTGCCTATGGAGCTGTTGTTATTGGGCAGAGGTTGGCATTGCTGCCTGTGTCCACTAAGATGCTTTCATCAGCAAATACTAGAGTATCTAATTTGGGTTTGGGCCTTTGCTAATGAAAGTGTGGTCTTTGTATCAAGTACATAGATATCACCTGGGAGCTTGTTAGAAATTCAGAATTTCAGGTCCTGCCCTAGACTTACTGGAAAGGAATCTGCATTTTAACAATATCCCTAGGGAACATATGTACAGTAACATATGCACAGGAACATATGCACAGAAACATAAGAAGCTCTGGTTTAAACCATAAGAACATTTATTACAATTTTTTATCTAAAAAGAAATTCAGAGGTGGAGGGTCCTAGGTTGATTTTTCACTTAAAAGGCCATCAAAGACTCAGGGGTTTCGTTTCCTCATGGTGGTAAAATAGCTGCCAAAGTTCTATGGGTTTTGCTCACTCCTACTTTCATTTAAATGCAGCTGGAAGGAAAGAGGAGGAAAGGACATAGAGTACCTTTGTTTTTAAATGTAGCTTTCTCTTATTATTAAGGGATGATTTCTTTCTCAAAGGCTTCTTATAGCTTCCCATCAGCTAGATTTTGGTCACATACATACTCTTCAGACCAATTATTAACAACACGTAACATGAAAACCTCAATTGTCATTGATTTGACCAATGCTGTCCAAAAGAAATGTAAGACTAGCTGCATATATAATTTAAAAATTTCTAGTAGCTATATTAAAAAAAGAGAAAATAGTTGAAGTTAATGTTATAATACATTTTATTTAACCCAATATTTCTAAATTATTATCATTTCAACATGCAAACAATACACAAAAATTACCAATTAGATATTTTATATTCTTTATTTCACACTGAGTCTTTAAAATGAGATCTGTCTTTTATGCTTTTACCTCATTTCAGTTCAGAAGCAAAGTTTTTATCAGATATACAAATACATGAGATATACAAACATGAATACAGATTGTATGCAGATTTCATAAGTCACATTTGAAAAAATATGCACATACTCAGCTTTATGTATAATTAAATGTTTTCTAATCATAAAATCACATTTCAGATTTTAAATTTAAATTAAATTAAAATTTTGATTTCTCACTAGTCACATTTCAAGTGCTCAACAGCCACATGTGGCTGGTAGCTGTTGAATGAGACAGTGCATGACTAGACCCTTGCTACTCAAAGTGTGGTCTGTGAGCAGCAGTAACAGGATCATCTAAGGACTTGTTAGACCTGCTGAATCTTGTGTTGTATCCTCGATCTAGTCAATAAGAAATCTACATTTTTAGCCCTAGCTGGTTTGGCTCAATGGTTAGAGTGTTATTCTGTGGACTGAAGGGTCTCAGGTTTAATTCCAGTCACCAGAACATGCCTGGGTTCCCAACTCAATCCCCAGTAGGGGGTGTGCAGGATGCAGCCAATCAATGATTCTTTTTCATCATTAATGTTTCCATCTCTCTCTCCCTCTCCCTTCCTCTGTAAAATCAATAAAAACATATATTTTAAAAATCTACATTTTAGTTTAATACACATAAAAATTGGAACAAAACCAGTCCAAGCTGTTCTCAACTTCGGCTATGATTTAACATGATGATGGGCACTTTAGAAAATATTAATGCTTATACCTCACCCAGAACCTTGGATTTGGACTTTCTGTCATGGGATCCAGGCATCAGTATTTTATTGAAGCTTGTTGGGCTATTCCAATATACAGCCAAGTTTGAGAACCACTGGTCTAGACTAATTTTGATTTATCTCAAATCAGATGCATTGCAACCCAAGCAATATTGTGAAAGATGTTCTTGAGTAAGTAACCAACAGCGGTTTCCATTCTTGCTTTTCTCTGCTCTGTGGATATTTCCAGCAGGGAAAAGGGTCTGACTGTGATCTGCTATACTTGCTTAGGTTACACTTACTGAGTCTCCTTTCTTCATTCAATCACTGGCTAACCCCTTTCTCTGTTTCCCTGTCCACTGCTTTCACCACTGCTTACCTTCCTTATTCTTCTAGGTTAAGCTTCCTGCTCTGAACTGATAAAATTTGCCTGTGCAGCATGTAGGCAGTGTGATAAATAAAACAACTATAGATTAATCTAATTATTGAAGAGAATTAAATTTAAGAGAGTCCTATCAGTTTCTAGAAATTATTATTACTGTATAAATAATTTCAGTCTGAGTTGTGCACATACTAAACCCACTCTCACTTGCCAGGTGGTACCTCAAGGAGGCCAATTCCTTCTGCTCTTCATCCAATTCTTTTTCTGTTTTAGTATTCAGCATGAGAGTTATTGATAGCGGCCTTTTCTTTGTTCTTATGCTCCCCAGATGGCACTAATTTTCAGAATTAATTTCCTTTAGGTGTTCAAACTTCTGCCTTTGTTTTTACTTATTTTGGTTTGCCTTTTCCTGGATGATAAGCTTAAGTGATTGTATACAGATTTCATGAGTCACATTTGAAAAAATGGGCACGAAGTCTGTTCATTTAAAGCATCTCTGATCTGAATCAATACACTCAAACTGAGAGGTGATTTTATGACCATATTTGGGTACCTTGGTAGTTGCCCATGTGCACTTCACTGGAAACTCAAAATGTGCACATACCTTGAAATACAGCCTTACCCATTGGCATGTCTCTATGGCAAACTAAATCTGCTGTTTCTCTTCTGAGGAAGGACCTTTAGCAGGATATGCTTGAAAAATAGGCTCACCCAAGTGGCTCTCATGAGTGTAAACAAAGTCACATTAAAACAAAAGCCTGTTCAGTTTGCCCAGCATCAGGAGATGCTATTTGTGGTCCCTTGGGCAGGAGAACAAAGGGGCTGATCAACAGCCTTTTGAAATCTAACCCGTTTCTTGGTAGAGGAGCATCTGTACGGGATACTTGTCAGTGATGACAGGAATTGCTGTCCAAGCTAATAAAAGGACTTCTCTAAAATTTAGACTGTAACATTTAGACTGTGTGATAAATAAATACAGATTAGTCTGTATTTATTCAAAGAGAACTAAGTTTTAAGAGAATCTTATCGGCATCTGGAAATCATTATTAAAGTATAAATATTTTCAGTCTGAATTGTATACATAAGAGTGTGAAGACTGAGCACTTGGAGAAACACAGCCAACAAGGTCATTTTTTAAAATTAAGTCAATATTTTAACTGTATAAATTTCTCTGATTTCAAAAAGCCTTAGATTAGAAAGATCTAATTTTTGAAATTTTTAAGGACTAAAAAAATTAATAAAAGTCTTATTTAAAAACCTGTCAAATTTGCATAACTTTATCTAATACTTACATTGTACTAAAACATGAATATGGTAAAGTCCCCGTGAAATTTTTGGATATTTGCTAGAAGTGGTTCAATGACTATTCAGAGAAGCTCCCTGAAAAATATGGTCCAGATGACATCAATTATGCATAGGACAGCAAAATATTAAAAGCATAATATTAAATTCCTACTATTAGAATTAAGAAATATCATCAGGAATACTTAACACTTTTTTTTCAACTGCAAATGTAATATCTTTTATTAAAAAGAAAAATTGTCAAAAATCCATTATTTAACTTAACACTTTTGAGGGCCAGAGAAAATTTGACATTGCTGCAAT